TTCCCGGTTTCCCGGTATCCCGGTTTCCCGGTTTCCCGGTTTCCGGTTTCCCGGTTCCCGGTTTCCCGGTTTCCCAGTTTCCCGGTTTCCCGGTTTTTTTTTTGTTTCCCGTTTTCCCGGTATCCCGGTATCACGGTTTCCCGGTTTCCTTGGTCGCGTCCACGCGCGGCCTTGGTCCAACTCGCGCGCCTTGGTCCGTGCGCGCTCTCGGTCTGCGCGCGCGCCTCGGTCTGCGCGCGCGCCTTGGTCCACGCGCGCGCCGTGGTCCGCGCGCGCCTTGGTCCGTGCGTGCCTTGGTCCCGTGCGCGCGCCTTGGTCCCATGCGCGCCTTGGTCCCGTGCGCGCGCCTTGGTCCGCGCGTGCGACTCGGTCCACGCGTTTTTCTAGCTGGCGATAGGGCAGCCGCTACTCTATACCTCTGACCTGCCGAGTTGTGCAACACATATGTGTTGAGAATTATCTATTTTTATCAATTTCTTTCCTCCGATCCTCTCCGCCCTACTGCCTCTGCTTTTCTGCCTTGCCCCTCTGAATGCGCACATTGACTCTGAGATAGCGGAGGGGGGGAGAGCGAGCACGCACAAGTGTTAAGACGTCTCAATACGTGCAACACTCACTACTGTCTTACTGCTTCCATCCCGTAATCTCTGTCCTATTGCAGGCGTACATTGACTGTGAGATATGGGAGGGAGAGGGGAGCGTTACACAACATTGTCTCTGCCGATTATCTCGCACCTTTTGCATTCTCTTTTCTTCTCCGCCCTTGTGTTGCTGCTCTATGGCATCCCTGCAGGCGTACATTGACTTTGAGGTAGCGAAAAGGGAGAGCGAGCGCGCACAATTGTTGATACATAACACATTCCCTGTTCTCTTTGCTTCCCTGCCCTGCACTATGGCAGGCGTACATCGACTTTGAGATAGCGGAGGGGGAGAGCGAGCGCACGAGGCAGCTGTATGAGCGGCTGCTGGAGAGGAACCAAACACGTCAAGGTAACAAACGGTTCCTGGTAACCAGGTAACAGCTGTATGAGCAGTCAGCACGATTGACTGCAGTGGCCAGGCCGGTGCTGTAGCGAACCAAGCACGTCAAGGTAACACCATTGCACACCCTTGACATCGGTTCCCACTCCTTGCCACACCTTGCCATCGTTTTCCACTCCGTTCCATACCTTGACATGCTGTGCCACCCTTTCCGCACCTTGCCCAGTCCGCCTCTCCGCTGCCCCTTCCCCTCCTACCACCCACACCCGAACCCTCTTTCTCTCCCTCATGCTCCCTGCCCCCCACCCACCTCTCCTCTATCCCACAATCTCTCACAGGTGTGAATGGGCTACGGGCAGTTTGAGGCGCAGGTGGCGGTTGAAGAGGAGATTAAAGCGGAGGAGGAGGGCAGAGAGGCGGCAGGTGGCACGAGCACTGATCCCCCCATTTGTTGCCTGCTTTTCCCCATCCCTCCGTCCATTTCCCCCGGTGTGGATGAGCTACGGGCAGTTTTGAGGCGCAGGTGGCGGTTGATGAAGAGGCGATCAAGGCGGAGGAGGAGGGCAGAGAGGCGGACGAGCTGGTGCTGGCAGAGCAGTCCAAGGACCGGTGACCCGGGCCAGAGGTACGGTGCGGAGGAGGAGTGGGGTATGGGGTGTGGATTTACAGGTACAGGACCGTAAAATCAGGTGTGAGCACAGGAGAGGAGGGCAGAGAGGCAGACGAGCTGGTGCTTGCAGAGCAGTCTAAGGATCGGGTCACCCGGGCGAGAGGTACGGTGCAGTGGAGTGGGGTATGGGATATGGAATCACAGGTACAGGACGGTAAAGCTGAGTATTAGCCTGTATTAGGCAAATAAGGTGCGAGCACAGGAGGAGGAGGGCAGAGAGGCAGACGAGCTAGTGCTGGCAGCAGAGCAGTCCAAGAACCGGGTCACCCAGGCACGAGGTATGGTGGGTGGGGTACAGTGCTGCTTGTGTGTGTGAGGTGTGGGCTGGAGATGGGGTGGAAGGCTCAGACACAAGCAGCCAGTGCGAGCACGCGAGGAGGAGGGTAGGGAGGCAGACGAGCTGGTGCGGGCAGAGCAGTCCAAGGACCAGGTCACCAGAGCAGAAAGTTTGGTGTTTGGTTTGGTGTGTGATGCATGGGGTGTGGGTTGTGAGGTGTGTGTGTGGGTGCGGGTTGTTGGTGTTGGTGTGGGTTACAGATACAAGAGGACTATGTGAGCATAGAGTCTGCTTAAACTGATCCTCCTATGTCTGCCAAATGTTCTCTCTTGCCCTGCCTGCCCCCTTTCCTCTCATGTCCCACTTGCAGAGGTGTATGAGCGGGCGTTTGAGCACATGAGGACGAACGCTGCCGACCAGAAGGAGGAGCGGGTGATGCTGCTGGAGGCGTGGCGGGAGATGGAGCGGGCGGCAGGCGTGAACGGCGACCCGGGATTGGGTCGAGAAGAGATGCCACGTCGCGTGAAGCGGAAGCGGCCAATCACAACTGAGGATGGCACTCTGCTGGGTACGTGCATACTCATTATGTGCAAGGCAAGCTCATTATGTGCCACTTCTGTGCAACACCTGGAGGGTTGTTTCCCTCTCTCTTATCTTCGTTCATCGTCTGTAATGTTGATTTTGCCATTTCATCCGTTCGTGCTTATGTCAGGTTCGAGGAGTATTACGACTACATCTTCCAGATGAAGCGGCTAACAGCCTAATCTCAAGATCCTGGAGGCTGCTTATAAGTGGAAGAGGCAAAAGCTCACTATGGGGGATGAGGAGGAAGGGCAGCAGGGAAGTGGGGGGGTGGAGAGGGATGAAGGAGGAAGTGGTGGGTTGATAGACAACAGGGAAGAGGATGACTAGTACATGAATTTCTAACATCTATGGCAAAGCACAAACGGTTTTGACGAAATTGTATATTCTTGTGCTTTTTTTTTAAACATGAAACGCAAGCGTATTCGCTCACTGAGTCATATAGCGGGTATTTACTCACCAAGCACCAGCCGAACTATGTATACTTCTGCTTGCTTGCCGCTATCGGTGTGTCAGGCTCGGTGCACCTTAGATTCTGCGGACCAGCTCTCCGCCATCGCCGCCGTCGTCGCTTCCGCTGACACCATCCCGCGCTCTCCGCTCCACCAGAACTCCCAGCACCCACCGATCGTGCCATTTCCGATCCGCTGTTCGGGGCTAAACGCAGCATTGCTTACGTCTATACACTCCCGACTCTGTATCCTCGCACCGGTTTCTCGCGTCTGCCCGCACTCGCGCTGCTTTCTTATCTCATCTCTGCGTAGTCTCGACCACCTACCTACTCTCGTAGCCATGGCGGGAGGTCTCGACGTGCATAAGAACAAGTACATCGAGGATTGGGGTACGCGGCGCGAGAACTCGAGAAGATCTTTCGCTTCAACCGTCGCACGCTCTCGATCGCGGCGCTCGCAATCGTCGTCGTTCCAGTCATCGTTTACCGAGGCACCATCGCAGAATTCGTAAGACCATTCCACTTGCGAAGTCCTTATATTGATTAGGGTTGGGGGGTGGGGAGGGGAGGGTGGGAGGGGCAGGGACTTCTTTTTGCGTACCTTTCTCCTCCTCCTTTTCCCCCTCCTTCCCCTCCCACCTCCCCCTCCTCTCACCCTCCTCTCCACGTCAACCCCCACCTGCGCTCTCTAGATCCTCTCACACTGCTTAGTATGTTAATAACCTGGCTTTTTTTGACTGAAACTGTCGTCAGGAAACGTACAGAGCTTGCAGGAGCTGATGCACCAATTTACTTGAGAGGATATGGTGTAATGCACCAATAAGAACCGCTTTGTTCCATAAGCATGCTGCCAGCCAGGCTGTCTGTACCCCGTTTCATATTCATACTCTGCATTTGTTCATATTGATCATGGGATGATGCATCAGATCGAGTTTTGAGACGTCTCAAAAATCTGCTAGCCAGGCTGTTCTCTGGTTCATATTCGTAATGGGATGAGCATCGGACTGAACATGTGGTGCACTCACTTTCGTTGCTGCCTTTCCAACTTTTGCGTTCCTATCGTTCGTCTACCTGTCTGCCTCTCTGTCTGCATGTCCATTCTCGTTCGTTTCTCTACCCCATGCCCCTCTTGTTCCTTCATTTCCCAGCAAGAAAAGAATTGCTGATATCAAATCACCCCATCCATCATGTACCAACATTCACTTTCCTTGCTCAGCAGCAAGGGTTAGTATCCGCCTTGCGAGCTCTCAAATTGCAACCCCGGTCGTCTTCTTGACTTGAACAGTGTTATTACGGTTATTCATGTACTCATTGCTGTATTGCTTGCGATGTGTGCACTGATGCAGAGGAAGCAAGAGGAGCTGGAAGGCCGACCGCAGCGCAAGTTCATGTAGATGTGAATTCTTTTTTTAGGGCATCAAACGATTTGTAAAATGGAAGTAGGAGTGTAACTGAACCCTTCCTTTTCAAGAACTACCTGTTACCTGTGTTTTAGACTTACCGTACTAGGCTCGTTTATGCGTTCGTCTATCACTAACATTCACTTCGCTGCTCATTCATCCGCGTTACAGCCAGGCTGATCTCGCCTGCTCCTCCTCCTCCTGCTACCCTGGCTCTATTGGCGACACGATGGTTCTTGCTGCCGCTGCCAGTCCCTAGTATTTCGTCTCCTCTCGGAGACTGGACGACAATCCCAAGGCCAACGCGATCGCGTCGCGATCCACTCTTTCCTCGCCGCCGTCTCTCATCCTATCGTTCCCACATCGCCACTCGCTCCGCCGCACTCCCACCACCACGAACAGCAGCAGCAGCAGCAGCAGCAGCAGCCCCACCACCCATCAGTCCACGCTTCCAGAACAGTCTGTCTCTGCCACACGGCCCATAATCCCAGCGCGTCCCGATCGTTGAACGTCTCCAAATCTACTCTAAAGCAGAATCGTGTCTTAAGGATCTCGAGATTCGCACCTGCGTACGAGAATCTTCGTCCCCCCGTTGACTCCTACTTCTGTAGTGTGGTAGGCTCCTCCCTGCGACAGATGGCTGTGCGCGTCGTTTCTCGCATCAGGTCGCACGGAGCGGCGGATCGAGCCGTCGCATGGCCGTTCGCGACGTTCGCAAACGGGTTCCCTTTTTCGCGAGTCGTCGCATCTCCCGCATCCTCGGATAGCCCCGCAAGGTGCATTCCTCTTCGCCCCTGTCAGCTCTGCCACCCTCTTCTTTCGAGGCGCCTTAAAAGTCGTTCCGTTTCCCTCCCCCTGTCAGCACTGCCATCACCGTCCTCCCCTCCCATTTCGCAATCTCGCTCGTCCCCGCAACTGTTCCATTATTCTCCCTGTTCCCATCTCTTCGTCTCCGCCCTGACTCCTCCGTTACTATTTCCCGCCCTTCAACCACTCCCCACACCTTTCCACCCCCATCGCTCCTGCGCCCCATCGCCCCTTCCCCTCCATCACCCCCCGCCCCCCCTTGCTCCATATTCTCCTTCCCTTCCTTCCGTAATCTCCTTCTTTCCGTAATCTCCTTCCTTCCGTAATCTCCTCCTTCCCTCTTTGCCCATTCTCCCTCCTCGTTGCCTCGCTGCCTCTCTTCCTCTCTCTCTCAACAAACACTCACCTTCTCCTCCCTTCCTCCTCTGTGCTCCCATCCTATCTCTCGCCTCCCACCACACCGTCACTTCACCTCGCTAATCTCGGACCCACTCTCTGTGTGTTCATTCATATCCGCAGGGATTTCTCGTCAACCTCCTCCCCTGCTTCTGAACCTCCCACTTCTTCAGCCGTATCACGCGGCCCCTTAGAGGTAAGCCACTCGCGAGTCGTGAGTCGGTCAACACTCGCCTTCACGATTCTCTCCATTACCTATTCCGAGTCTTCCTCTTCTGAACCTCCCACTCCCTCAGCCGTATCACGTGGCCCCTTAGAGGTAAGCCACTCGTGAGTCACTCATAACACACCTGGTCTAACAAGATTCTCGCCTTTCACCTCCTCCGTCCTCCTCTTGAGAAACCCTCACTTCTCCACCGTATCTCCAGCCCAGCAGGTGGAGCAAGAGCCGAGGCGGGGTTCTGAGACATCAACGCACTCACGTGCCTATTGCTGCCTGCCCCATGACTCCCCCCTCACCCCCTCCCAGGGCCTAGCGCACCAGCCACGCGACTACCAAGCCAATGCATACCCCCAGGCGCAGCAGCAGCAGCAGCAGCAGCAGCAGCAGCAGCAGCAGCAGCAGCAGCAGCAGGAGGAGGAGGAGGAGCAGCAGGAGGAGGAGAGGAGGAGGAGGAGGAGGAGGAGGGGAGGAGGAGGAGGAGGAGGATGAGGAGGAGGAGGAGGAGGAGGAGGAGGAGGAGGAGGATGAGGAGGAGGAGGAGGAGGAGGAGCAGGGGAGGTGGGGTTTGATCAGAGCTGTCTTTACACTCACTTGCCTCCCTGGTCCCCCCATGACTCCCGCCTCACTTTCCCCCAGGACCTGGCCCAGCGGCAGAGGGACTACCAAGCCCTCTGCAGCCCCTCTGCCGCAAGGGACTGCCAAGCCCCAGGTTTCCTCTCCGCAAGGCATACGCGCAGGAGCAGCAGGAAGAGAGGCGGGCTTGCAGCCGTCTCAAACACTCACCTCCCTCACTCCTCTCTCTGTATTCCCCTCTTGCCTCCCTTCCCCGCCACAGCACAGGACCTGGTCCAACGCCAACGAGACCTCTCCGCAAGGCATACGCGCAGGAGCAGCAGGAGCTGAGGCGAGCAGCAATGAAGGCGCGACACTCTACTCCTTTCCTGCTCTCCTTGGTTCCGTTCATCTCCTCCCCCCAGGTTGAAATTCGTTGGGTTCGAAACGCAGCAAGCCTTCTAAGAGTAACGATCTATAGCAGTAGTCTACTAATCTGAAAGGCGAGGGAAGTTGTACGGAAAAGGTCTACTAATCAGAAAGCCAGACACATTAGGCTGGATGTCGCGTGTGTGCGTGAGAATTCTCAAAAACACCCTTCAGCGAGCAGCAATGAAGGCGCGACACTCAACTCCTTTCCTGCTCTCTCTTGGTTCCGTTCATCTCCTCCGCCCAGGACCTGGCCCAACGCCAACGGGACTACCAGGCCCAGGTGTCATCCCTCCGCAAGGCATACGCTCAGGAGCATCAGGAGCTGAGGAGAGCGGCGATTGAAAGCGCAGCAGCAGCGCAGAGAGGCGGCGGCGAGCGAGAAGGAGTCGCATGCTGAGGAGAAGCGGGCGGCGCGGGCCGCCCGGGCGGCGCGGGCGAGGGAGGAGCAGGAGAGCCTGCGGGCGGCTAAGGTGGGTGGGATGGGTGGGATAGATTGGAGGGATAAGGATGGATGAGCGGGGAGGGGGAGGGGGATGGGGGGGGAAGAGGAGGGCGAGAGGGAGTGGGAGAGGAGGGAGAGGAAGGGAAGAAGTCGGTGTGTGGTATGTGTGGCGTGGTCAGGTGTGGTCTGGTGTGGTCATGTCTGGTCTGGTCTGGTCTGGTCTGGTCTGGTCTGATGTGGTGTGGTGGATGCATTCTCTCATGCACAATGCCAGATCATGTTCACCGTTCGTCCCTCAACCTTTGATTGATTCTGTTATGATAATTTTTAAACACACATAGTGTTTTTTAAAATTACGTATTTCGAAAGCGCAGCTGACTGTAACGGGAATTTGGCATCGTCGAAGCGCGCTAAACGCCCTTCTCCAACTACAAATCGTGGGTTGGAGTTCATTTCCCTCCACCCACGTCTCTCATTTTTCAAACGGCTCATGCAACTCAGTCCTCGAGCTCATTTTAGTTTTCCGTTCAAGCTGGCTAGAACCCGCTCTCTACCGAGAGGCGTTTCACCTTCAACATTATTAGCCGACATTCTCAACCACAACGCCACGACGATGGCTGCTACGCCGACACTTAACCGCGCGAACAACACCGTCGTCAACGACCCGATTAATTCCGACAACGATCGCAATGCCCCGGGAACGTCGGGCGAACGCCGCAACAAGCGCCGGGCAGACGGCGAAACGTCCGCCCCTACTGCCGTCGACGTGCTGCTGGGCGGGCTCGAGGTCAACAAAAACGCCGAGCGGCACCAGCAGCACCCTTCGGCGCCTGTGGCGCCTGTGGCGCCTGTTGCGCCAGTGGCGCCTGTGGCACCTGTGGCGAACGTGGCGCCACACGCTGCTGACGCGGAGCACGCGCCTGAGGCACACGCGCCCCTCAGGCAGTCGCGTCAGCGCCAGAGGCGCAGGACGGCCGCCTCGTCTGACGCGACCGTGGACCCTGACTTGACCGGGGCGTTGACCCCGGACCAAGTCAAAGCGCTTCTGTCCCTGTTACAGCAGCGACCCGCCAGCGTCATTGAAGCCGAAACTACACAACCGGCAGCATCGATTTCGGCTAAAAACGAAAATTCGAAAAAGGAGAAGGGAGCAAAAGGAGCGCCCACACGCCGTCACAACAAAGAAGCAGCCACCGGCATTCCCGAAGCCGCAGCCGACAATCAGGACTCCGACGACTCAGACGACGACGCTGGTGAGGCTCCAATCAAGCAACAAATTTTACACCCATGGAAAAATCTCCCCCCCCTTCCTTCCACCACCCCCACCTTCTCGGCCCAAACTCATGAAGCCAATCGTCGCGCGCGAAAGCGGAGCCCCTGGAGGACGTGAGGGCCTACCTGAAACACGCGGAGTACAAGCTGCAGCACGACGACACGGCGGGCGGACTCGAAATGGTCGTCAACGCCCTCGACTATATTTCGGAGCGCTTCGTGATGTTCCAAGTCGAGGACCACACCGACGACCGCGTGGCGAAGCGATTCAAGCTATACCAGCAGAAGAGTCTCCTCACCTCCCGCCCGTTCAAGCAGGCGGTGGCTGACGTGGCAGCTATGGATCGCGCGGAAGGCGCGTACGCTCGTTCCCACCGCGGTGGAGGGCACGGGCCGACTTCATACACCCCAAAGCGGGGACCGCCGCCCACGGGTGGCTTCCATGGCTTCCGTGGGGCGTGCTTCCGTTGTGGCCAGCCGGGTCACATGGCAAGTGGCTGCCCGAGAAACGGAAACGGTGGCCAAGGACCCGCACCCGTGGTGTAGGGGCGGGCCTTGAGCGATGACGCCTTGTGCGCGTGGCACGGTGCACGTCATGTGCAAAGACCGTGGGCAACCCAAAGGGGTTAGCGGGTGGCGGTTGGCCAGCCCTAGTTAGGGGTGATTAATAGGCTCGAGGCCTAGGATGAGGGGGAGGGAGTAAAAACCTCTTGGCCCATTGTAGTAGCCCATGCGGTAGGGGCGAAGGCATGCTAGGAGCATGGCAATGTATGGCCCGGTTTATATACGGGCGGATTTATTCAAGAAGCATTTTTTGACTTGGCTCATGGTGTGACCAAAAAAAATAATAATAACAATAATAATAATAATAATAAAGCAAAGGGGGGGGAGGAAAGAGAGAATAAGCGGAAGAAGAAGAGACAAGGAGAGAAGGAGGAGCAAAGAATGGCAATGACACTTACCATATGACCCCAATCAATGACCTTTGCACTCATCGGACGTGCAACCATTGCTTTGGCCAAAGGGCCAAGAAGCATGACCCGACTAAAGAGCGAGCAAGAGCAAGAGAAGAACGAGGAGATTTGTGGGTGTGCGCACGTGTGTGAGAGAGAGGGCAGAGAGAGAGAAGAGGGAGAGCGAGAGAGAGAGAGAGAGAGAGAGAGAGAGAGAGAGAGAGAGAGAGAGAGAGAGGAGAGAGAGAGAGAGAGAGAGAGAGAGAGAGAGAGAGAGAGAGCGAGAGAGAGAGAGAGAGAGAGAGAGAGAGAGAGAGAGAGAGAGAGAGAGAGATGAGAGAGGAGAGAGAGAGAGAGAGAGAGCGAGAGAGAGAGAGAGAGAGAGAGAGAGGAGAGAGAGAGAGAGCGAGTGAGGGAGGGAGCGAGAGAGGAGTGAGAGAGAGAGAGAGAGAGAGAGAGAGAGAGAGAGAGAGAGAGCGAGAGAGAGAGAGAGAGAGAGAGAGAGGAGAGGAGAGCGAGAGAGAGAGAAGAGAGAGAGAGGCGAGAGAGAGAGAGAGAGAGAGAGAGAGAGCGAGAGAGAGAGAGAGAGAGAGAGAGAGGAGCAAGCCAAAGATAAACAAGGAGAGGGAGAGGGAGGAGAGTCGAATGGAAGGCACGAGGCACAACTTGTGATCACGTGACCGTGCGGGAAGACTCACACCCGCTCTTTGGTTGAGGGATGCCAAAAAAAAAAAAAAAGAAAAAAACGAGGGCGTACAATGCGGATGTAATTGCCGACAAATGATTATTCGAATGGGTCAATGCGCATACACCCATCGCATGCACCTACCCTTCACACATGAAGGATGTGTATCATATCCATAAGAACCTCAATTTGCAATCCTGCCCCATTGTCACTCCGCAAACATGCAGAGGCAACAAGCGAGGAGATGTTAGACGACGATGATCCGTACGAATTCGCCGTCACAGACAAGACCGTCACGCGAATGCGCGGGAGGCTTCGCGCAACCCTTGTATGGTGGAGCTCGTGGTGCCCCAGTAGCCTCATCCTCTCGGTCATCGCCAATGGCTACTGGCTACCATGGAGACACAACCCTCCACAACCGTTTCACGAACGCAACCATCTCGGCGCACACACACACGCGGCATTCACGCGCACGGCCATTCGCGAACTGACGGAGACCGGAGCGGCGGTCGTTACCCCGGCAGCGGAGCTTACATGCATCAGCCCTCTCAACGTGGTCGAGCAACGTGACAAATGCAGGCTTATTCTCGACCTTCGGAAAGTGAACGAGCACCTGATCATTCCGAAATTCAAATACGAGGGATTGAGCCGCGTCGCCGACTTGGCGCGCATAGGAGACTGGATGTTCTCCATCGACCTAAAATCCGGATACCATCATGTCGACATACACCACTCTTGCTGGAAATTCCTCGGCTTCGAATTTGAGGGGCGCACGTACTCCTTTCGCTCACTGCCCTTCGGCCTCGCAACAGCACCGTTTGTCTTCACACAACTCATCAAACAATTAGCCAGGCGCTGGCGCGAACAAGGCATTCGAGTTGTTCCCTACGTGGACGACATCTTGTTCTTATGCACGTCCAAGGCACATGCACAGGCAACATGCCAGATGATAATCTCGGACCTCAAGATGGCAGGTTTGGTGATCAACGCGAAAAAATCACAGTTGTCCCCGTCACAACAGCTGCGATTCTTGGGCGTCGAGCTGGATACCAACTTGGGACAATTTTCTATTGGCACCGATCGACGAGCATCACTTCATGCACACATTCAGAATCTATTGAGCGCAAGCAAAGCACGTCGACAGGTTCCAGTCCGCCACCTCGCCAGAATCACGGGCACGCTCGCGTCAATGGCTGTCGCGCTAGGTGCTACGACTCGCGCGTTCAGCCACGCCATGCTACAAACGATCAACGACGCGCCGTCCTGGGGAAGCAGTGTGAGCATTTCCCCACCTGTGGCGGAGGAGTTGCAATTCTGGCTCGAGGAGTTTGACAAATTTAATGGCGCACCATTCCACGTCCGGAATAGCTACGACGCTGTAATCCACGTGGACGCCAGTTCCCACAGTTGGGGTGCCACTTTGCTCACCTTCCCTGGCGAACTTGAAGAAGCCAGTGCAGCCATGCCAGCACCACTGCAAGCAACGTCCAGCACCCGACGAGAAATCGAGGGTGTCCTTTGGGCCATCCGAACGTATGCGAACAAGGTCCAACAAAAACACGTGCTCGTAAGGGTGGACAACCAAGGGGTCTTCTTCATCCTTCGCAAAGGCGGTTCCCGCACCCCCGACCTGACCACCGCTTGCAAGGACATTATCCGTATCTGCATGAAGCTCGGCACTCGACTAATCGTCGAATGGATCCCGCGAGAGCTTAACTCCCATGCTGACGAGCTGTCAAAGCTGATCGACCAGGATGATTACTCTTTGAAGCAACCATGGTTCCGGATCCTTGATCGCCGTTGGGGACCGCATTCAATCGACCTCTTCGCCAACCATCACAACACGCAGCTACCACGATTCTGTTCGAAGATCCCACACCCCAAGGCTACCGTGGTTGATGCATTTTCATGCTCGTGGACAAACGAGAATGGCTTCGCGTTCCCACCACCCCAACTGATCCCGGCAGTCATCCGCCACGCACAACGCACCAATGCATCATTCACCCTAATCGTCCCCCACTGGACGGGGGCAAACTGGTGGCCACTGCTACAACCCTCCCCACCTAGCTGGGCCCCGCACGTCCGAGCGCACATTCCCATAACGCACGGCAGCCAATGCCTAGCAGTAGGAACGCACCGCACTGCCTTTTCAGGCATAGGACTGCCTCATAGCACAATCATTGCACTACGAGTGGTCTTCGACTAACCCAACCTGCACGCCTTCGCGCAGACGTATTACCGAAGCTACAAGTCCAACTATTAAAGATGCTCTCACAGTCTCGGGCCGATTCAACGATCCGAACATACGAGCCATACTGGGTCAAGTTTCGAGCATTTTGTGCAAAGGTCAACCTCCCATTCCTTCCCACGTCGGACATGACCCTCGCGCTGTACCTGGTGTACGCTATCCAACACAGAGCCACACTGCCCATGGTACAACTTACATGCTCAGCGGTGAGCTTTGCACACCGCATGACTGGGAGCACATGCCCAACGACCGGCCCATTCACCACTCAAGTACGCGACTTCGCGAAAAGACACTGTCCTCGCCCCACACGAGTGAAGGAGCCTGTCTCGCTGCAACAGGTCCACGACATGTCTGCGAGCTACCTGCAGTCCGACAACCCCGGGGAGTTCCAAAAGGGGCTAATCCCTATCCTCATGTTCACTGGCTTCCTAAGATACTCGGACCTCATTGCCATCGAGTGGCAAGACATCCAGTTCGACAGTGAGGTCATGTGGATCCTAATCCCGTACTCCAAGACGGACCAAGCTGGAAGGGGCACATGGATACCCATCGCCGCAACTCATGATCCCTTCTGCCCTGTCCGCTGCACCCGACGGCTCATCCAACTCGCGGGATACGACCGACAGTCCGCAGGGCCGCTGATTCGCATCTTTGGACGTGGCTCACTACAAGGCCAAGCAAGGTCGCCGTCCTACCCGACGATCCGGAACTGGTGCAAAGAAGCCTTTGGGAAGATCGGACTAGGGGAACAGCAGCTGGGCACTCACTCCTTTCGCAAAGGAGCAGCCACTGCTGCGGCGAACACCGGCGTGCCGGACAGAATCTTCAAACGACTGGGCAGATGGCGCAGCGATACAGCGAAGGAGATGTACGTCACGCCCAACGCCGAACATCTCATCAGCGCCTCCCGCCAGCTGCAAGATCTGGCCTACGCCCCTTCTTCAGCACAGCACGCAGAGGCACTCGTCCGTCATCGAAAACCCCCGCTGCCCATGTCTCAGAGACCCCAGTTGAAATGAGAACGATGCCAAATGATAATTATTAGAAAGCAAGCTTTCTAAATATGATAATTTTTAAACACACATAGTGTTTTTTAAAATTACGTATTTCGAAAGCGCAGCTGACTGTAACGGGAATTTGGCATCGTCGAAGCGCGCTAAACGCCCTTCTCCAACTACAAATCGTGGGTTGGAGTTCATTTCCCTCCACCCACGTCTCTCATTTTTCAAACGGCTCATGCAACTCTCCCACCCCCCGCCCAACACCGATGGACATCAAGGCCGCCGCTTACACAGGAGGACACAAGTGGAACAATGTGGGTTAGCGCACACCTATTAGGATTGATAGCTTGACGACTGATTGATAGGAAGTATCAAGACACGTACTAGCGCTTATATTGTCTAGCTCGAGGTGCATGTTGTAATTTCCCAGTTGAAATGAGAACGATGCCAAATGATAATTATTAGAAAGCAAGCTTTCTAAATTTGTTGTTTTTGTGAGCAGCAAGAGCTGAAGGTGATGAATGCAGCGCGGCTGAAAGAGAGGGAGGAGAAGATCAATGCTCGCAAGGAAGCGGCCAAGACGGCTTTGCGGATGGAGAGTGCAAGATGGATTAGGGAGGATGAGTTGGAGTGGAGGATCATGGAGGCCATGTCAAAGCCATACATTCTGTGATTTTCACATTGTATTCTCGCAGATATCATCCATTTACCTAAAATGTACCAAATTCTCGTTGCTCCATTTTCTGTCAATCTCGCTATTAATTTGCATATGCACCCCTTCTCTAGTTTGGCGGGTCAAGCCTATCTTGCTCTTATAGCACGGATGTTCTCAGCTGGCTGGCTGTTGTACAGATCTGAGGCGGTTTGGAAACTTGCGCCGGGACTTCCCGCTAGGTGTGACCGTTTCCGAAACCAAATGCACCGTGGTTTACCGTACTGTGCCATACAGTTCTCTCTGCCATTTCACATTCCTTCTCTTGCATCGCTTCCCTCCTAGGGGACTCGAGTGCACAGCAGAGCAAAACACTAGTAGATAGATGAGATCAGAGCTGAATTCGTCGAGTAGTCGTCACATGGCGATTCATGTCTAAACAATACCCGTGTCATGGCAAGCGACGAAGCCGTGCCTAACGACGCTCGTAACAAGCCCACGGCACTTTCCCTGGAGTCACGCTCTTGCTGCTTATTAGGCTTGTTTCCCGATCGCGATTAACTAATCCTCTCCCCTGCACTTTCAGCCACGCCTGTCCTGCTTCTGTCCGCTTACCATTTAGTCGGACGTTTCGTTTTCAGCTTTAACTCCTCGAATTCTGTTTTTTCTTGTTATTCGGCGTCAGCTGAGTCATTAATTTAGTTTCGATTCGACTCGGATCACGATGCTGGGAATATTCAGCGTAGTCTATTACTCCGTAGTCTGTCTCATTACAAGCTTCCTTGTTGTTCGGTACGGGTTGCCGGTCCGTCTACTCCGGCATCTACAGGTCTACGTACTTACGGATCAAAATGCGGGAGTACCCATGTCATCGATTTCCAACGGGCAGGGCAAGAATAGGGGCAGGAGAAGAAACAACGAGCCGGAAGCGGACGAATCAAGCGGCAAGATGATGCGGATCCTCGTGCAGGAGGGTCACCTATATTCGCGAAAGTTCTTTCGCGAATTCGACGAAACGATCCTATTCGCCTGCATAGGGATCATGGCGGTGTTTTCCCGGGAAATCCTGAGCGTCATAGAGACGTACGTTCAGGGAAGCGGAATGTTCGCCAACCAGCAAAGCCAGCAGCAGCAGAATGCAGATCCGAACACCCCAAAGCAGAATCTCCATTCCTCTTCAACTGGCCTTTTCCTGATGGACCATGGCGGCATGATTCCGCTTCTCCTTGCAGCAGTGGCTCTGTGGAAAATAATTCGCAACTGGGCTTCTGTAGAGTGGGACAGAGGCACAACCCGCTCCTCAGATTTCACGCAGTGCGCTCTCGCCGGGATAGCGAGCTGCCTTGTAACGGGGTTCCTCCTCTTCGTCCTGCCTGCGTCCCTCACCGGCTTCGACTTCGATTCCGTCGCGGAGAAGGCCGGCGTGACTATAACGAATCACTTCAAATCGAAGGGACTCGCTAAGGACAACATCCCCGAGTTCATCATCCCCCCAACCTTCATTAAAACCTCATTGGTGCTCTTCTCAGGAGTCATCGGCGCGCTGTGCCTCCCTGCTGCTATCCGATTCGTCCGCTGCTTCTATCTCTCCACCAGTCAGCAGCCGTGGGACACAGGGATCATCCATCAGGGTTTCTGGTCCTCTCTCCTCTGGAATGTCAGCTTTCTGCTGCCTGTGCTCACAGCAGCGCTCTGGTTCCGCCCCCTGACGGAAGTTTTTGAGCCTGTAGTTGTTTTCAGTGCGGTTGGGAGTGGTGCTGTAGCTGCTGGTGACTCTGGCAGTGCTGTTGTTGGTGGTGGTGGTGACACTGTTTCGGCTGGTGCTTTGGGTTCCGCTTCTGCTGCTGCTGCTAATGTGACTGCTGCTGGTGGTGTATCCACTCTCTCCCAGTTGGGTGCCTACATTAGCTCTCTGATGGGATCCGTTGTGAGTGGCCAATGCGGTGGCCTTCCAATCGAGTGGCTCCAGCTGGCGGTTGTCCTCCTCAGTGGCGTTTCCCGCATTCTGCTTCTCCGCATTGCCGTACAGTCACACCTCAATACTGCGCTGGTGTACTGGTACGATCAGCTACACTCTGGCAGGGAGTGGGCGTATCATCGCGTAAACGCACACGTGCAGCTGACATACTATTTCATCTGCAAGGTTGCTATTCAAGCGGTTGCACTTCCTCTAGTCACACTCTTGCTGGTGGGTATTGCGAGGAGCAGAGGGCCGGAGTTGGATCCACTCTTTGATAAAGAGGGGTCTCTGTTGCCACCGCTGTTGGTGAGGGAGATGGCAATGTTTCTTGCTTGGTGGTGTAATTTGGCTTGGGCTTTGCAGACTTGTGCTATTTTGGCACTGTTCAGGGTAGGACAGTTAAAAGCTGTGTAGGGAAGGATGCCTTCTAGTGTATGATGACGCTAATGCGGTTTGAGCAACCTTATCATTCCCCTGAATCCAATCCAGACCATTTTCTATCTACGGTATTTCAATGCCAGGTGTTACAGTTTTGTCTGCTCCATCTATAGGGTTGTGTTATTCTTTCTCGCTTGGTGTACAAGAATTCACAGCTGCAATTTCATATGCAGTGGAATGACTCACCAACCACTAGCAGCGGATTTGCAGCGTTGCCAAGACGGCCCGCGTGGGTATCACTCAAACAGCATCCAATCATCGCCTACCGTAATTTCGTTAGAGGCGCTAAACAAAACACAGTAACTCGTCGCTGTACACGCTCAGTGGTTGAACGAAAGTCGTCATGCCGGTTGGGAGAAGCACACATTTTTCGTTCGAGTCGCTCAATTTGCGCCGCCGCCTTTGAAGAGGCGCAATTCGCCCCCTCCTAACCCCTCGCGTTGCAATTGCACCTCCACCACATTCTCTCGCCCCGCATTCGCGCTCATCGCGCTCCCCCTCTTCCCTGTCGCTGCCTCTTCCCTTCCCTCCCTCTGTGTCTACTCACCCTTCTGTCCTCCATCCTTCGTCCCCACCTCCTCTCATCAGTCTCTAACCTCCCCAGTCCCCACCCCTCTCTTCAGTCCCCTCACCACCCTGCCCAATCCCCGGTTTCGGCAGTTCGCACTCTCCTTTCCACGCCTTTCTCTGATAGGAGCTAACCTAACAGGTAGGAACTATGCGCACCGCCATGTAGCGCCTTCAGAAGTCGAGTAACAGCGCTAGGTGATATTTGAAGACGCGCGATTCCGTGTAGCAACGCGTATGCGCGCTCGGAGCGGCACCACTGCGATCTTGGGAGGCGGCGAGAGTAGCAGCAGCACCATCACCAGCACCAGCACCAGCAGCAGTAACGCCAGCGGCTCTGCCAGCGTGGGCAGTAGATTCGGCGCGCTTATGGCTCGACCGGCAATCCGACGCGCTGTGACAGTAGCGCTGGTGCTCGTAGCGGGGTTGATCCCGTGTCTCGTACTTGCTCTCGCTCACGGCGAGCAAGCGGCGGTTAGCTTCCTGGATAGTAGCGCCTCTGATATACGGCAAGATACTGCCACTCAAGAACACACAGCGACTAGCCTGGTTCAAGAGTTAATCCTCGCTAATAGCATAGCTTCGCCAAGGACTCAAGAGAATCCGATCTCTACATTCTTTAATTACACTCCCGCAGGATTGAAGCCGGAAACTTCTGACGCTATTTCTTCGATCCGTCCCTTCCCCGAGCTACCTTTGAACTTCTCAAAAGCTCGCCCGTTCTCCGAGCTGCCTTCGAACTTGTCAGAAGCTCGCCCGTTTCCAGCGACGCGAGAGAGCGGCAATCCCGAAAACAGTCCGCACCAGGGACAATTTCCCGAGAATTCGAGATTATCCGCGGCAGAAGCTCTCTTCGATACGAGCAGAAGGATACTCAAGGTATGCACGAGCAGGTCATTGTGCGAGTGGGTGGTCACCCACCGATCTGCACGCCGCTGTACCGCATACGCCCAACAGTCTTTGTTTCTTGCCGACGAGTCCAGCATCCTGTTCACTCTCCCTTCCCCCTCCGTCTTCCCCCTCCGCCCAAATCCGCCCGCACCCTCTCCGCCCCTTTCCCCCATCCCTGCCGCCAAACCCCCCTTTCCCTTCCGGCTTCCCCCTCCCCCGCGCTTCCCCCAGGGCTACCCGTCGTTGGACGCGCTCGCGGACGGCGCGCGGGAGGAAGGGGAGCTGCGCTCATTCCCCTACCGATTTCTTAACCCCACCGCCCTCTCTCCTCCCCCCCCCCCTCCCCTCTCCCCCCGTTCCCCCTTCTTCTCACGACCCTCAGGGCTGCCCGTCGTTGGACGCGCTCGCGGACGGCGCGTGGGAGGAGGGGGAGCTACGCGCGAGCGACTTTGGCGGAGACTTCGTGTTCGGATTCGCTACTAGCGCCGCTCAGGTGCGGCCACGTGACACAGAGAAAGAGTAAGCCACGTGGCACGGGTTGAAAGTGGGCCACGTGGGAAGGGTTCAGGTGCAGTGCCCGATCATGTTCGCGGTTATAGTTCTCATTCATGCTCTCATGCACACAACACGGTTACTGTCACCTATCTTCACATACCCTGCTTATTCCGCGCCTCTTCCCTTCCCCCTCGTCCCCCTACCTTTCTCTCCCCTTTCCCCTCTCTCTTCCTTCCCGCGATCCTCCTCCCCCTTCCCCTCTCTCTTCCTTCCCGCGTCCCTCCTTCCCCTTCCCCTCTATCTTCCTTCCCGCGTCCCCCCCCCCCCTCACCACCCCTTCCCCCTATGCGCTGCCCCAGGTGGAAGGCGCAGTGGCGGAGGGCGGAAGGGGGAGAAGCATCTGGGACGACTTTGCGGAGAGGGCAGGTGGGGGGATGAGGGGATGGAGAGCAGATAAGGGGGAAATGGAGAGAGGGGAGGTGAGGGGATGAGGGGATGGAGAGCGGATAAGGGAGAAATGGAGAGAGGCAAGTGAGGGGTAGGGCGGAAGGGGAAAAAGCATCTGGGACGACTTTGCGGAGAGGGCAGGTGAGGGGGAGCGCGGAGATGAAAATAAGGGGAGCGAGGGGGAGTGAGTGGCTGGGGAGATCTGTGGGAGAGGGTGGAGGGATGAGGGGAAGGAGAGAGGGGATGGAAGGAGGGGAGGGAGCGGGGGGTGGCATCAGGTGGTGATTACCTGACCATTCACCCTCCCATCTCTTGTTCCACTAGGTCATCTCAACTTAAATGCACTCTTAGTCGGCTCACAGCCCACCTTGTCTTGTTCCATTTTGAGGGCTTTTGGTTCCTGATTCCTGCAGGAATTTCATGCAGGGTTTTGAGGGTATTTCATGATTCCTGCAGGAATTTCATGCAGGGTTTTGAGGATATTTCATGATTCCTGCAGGAATTTCATGCAGGGTTTTGAGGGTATTTCATGATTCCTGCAGGAATTTCATGCAGGGTTTTGAGGGTATTTCATGATTCCTGCAACTCCTGCCTGCCTTGATGGCTCTTCAGGAAAGATCAAGGACGCTTCGACTCCGTCAGTCACAGCAGACCAGTTTCACCAATTCAAGGTACACTTTATCCTCGCTATAAGGCACAGCATATCTAGAACTCATTCATGCAACAAAACTCTACACAGCTGTGATTCAACGTATGTGTTTTTCCAGTCATGTCAATACTCTTATTCCCCTTCTACACATATGTCAAGTATTTCGTTTTTTTTTTTTTCTCAACACATGCACCCATGTACCTCCTGGTTGCTTGTATGCGTGGCCACGTCATCAGGATGACGTGGCACTGCTCAAGGCTATGGGGGCGACCTCGTACCGCTTCTCCATTTCCTGGTCTCGAATCATCCCCGGTGAGTTCCATAATCCATTGGTCAACGCGAGTCAACGTGAGTCAAACCAATCATCCAGCACTGCAGTGACCGTACGCACGAGCTCCCAGCCTGTGTTTTGATCTCTTCCTTCTCCCTAACAACCTCTCCCCCCTCCCTCTGCTCGCTCTGCAGATGGCGTGGGAGCAGTTGCTCCACAACCTCTCCCCCCTCCCTCTGCTCGCTCTGCAGATGGCGTGGGAGCAGTTGCTCCACAACCTCTCCCCCCTCCCTCTGCTCGCTCTGCAGATGGCGTGGGAGCAGTTGCTCCACAACCTCTCCCCCCTCCCTCTGCTCGCTCTGCAGATGGCGTGGGAGCAGTTGCTCCACAACCTCTCCCCCCTCCCTCTGCTCGCTCTGCAGGTGGCGTGGGAGCAGTTGCTCCACAACCTCTCCCCCCTCCCTCTGCTCGCTCTGCAGATGGCGTGGGAGCAGTTGCTCCACAACCTCTCCCCCCTCCCTCTGCTCGCTCTGCAGATGGCGTGGGAGCAGTTGCTCCACAACCTCTCCCCCCTCCCTCTGCTCGCTCTGCAGATGGCGTGGGAGCAGTTGCTCCACAACCTCTCCCCCCTCCCTCTGCTCGCTCTGCAGATGGCGTGGGAGCAGTTGCTCCACAACCTCTCCCCCCTCCCTCTGCTCGCTCTGCAGATGGCGTGGGAGCAGTTGCTCCACAACCTCTCCCCCCTCCCTCTGCTCGCTCTGCAGATGGCGTGGGAGCAGTTGCTCCACAACCTCTCCCCCCTCCCTCTGCTCGCTCTGCAGATGGCGTGGGAGCAGTTGCTCCACAACCTCTCCCCCCTCCCTCTGCTCGCTCTGCAGATGGCGTGGGAGCAGTGAGCAAGGCAGGCGTGCAGCACCACAGCCGGCTCATAGACGAGCTGGTAGCTGGCGTTGTTCTGTGCTCTTGAGTCGCTTCTGAGAATTCTCAAAAGCGACTCAAAAGTGTTCTGTGCTCTTGAGTCGACTCAAAAGTGTTCTGTGCTCTTGAGTCGACTCAAAAGTGTTCTGTGCTCTTGAGTCGACTCAAAAGTGTTCTGTGCTCTTGAGTCGACTCAAAAGTGTTCTGTGCTCTTGAGTCGACTCAAAAGTGTTCTGTGCTCTTGAGTCGACTCAAAAGTGTTCTGTGCTCTTGAGTCGACTCAAAAGTGTTCTGTGCTCTTGAGTCGACTCAAAAGTGTTCTGTGCTCTTGAGTCGACTCAAAAGTGTTCTGTGCTCTTGAGTCGACTCAAAAGTGTTCTGTGCTCTTGAGTCGACTCAAAAGTGTTCTGTGCTCTTGAGTCGACTCAAAAGTGTTCTGTGCTCTTGAGTCGACTCAAAAGTGTTCTGTGCTCTTGAGTCGACTCAAAAGTGTTCTGTGCTCTTGAGTCGACTCAAAAGTGTTCTGTGCTCTTGAGTCGACTCAAAAGTGTTCTGTGCTCTTGAGTCGACTCAAAAGTGTTCTGTGCTCTTGAGTCGACTCAAAAGTGTTCTGTGCTCTTGAGTCGACTCAAAAGTGTTCTGTGCTCTTGAGTCGACTCAAAAGTGTTCTGTGCTCTTGAGTCGACTCAAAAGTGTTCTGTGCTCTTGAGTCGACTCAAAAGTGTTCTGTGCTCTTGAGTCGACTCAAAAGTGTTCTGTGCTCTTGAGTCGACTCAAAAGTGTTCTGTGCTCTTGAGTCGACTCAAAAGTGTTCTGTGCTCTTGAGTCGACTCAAAAGTGTTCTGTGCTCTTGAGTCGACTCAAAAGTGTTCTGTGCTCTTGAGTCGACTCAAAAGTGTTCTGTGCTCTTGAGTCGACTCAAAAGTGTTCTGTGCTCTTGAGTCGACTCAAAAGTGTTCTGTGCTCTTGAGTCGACTCAAAAGTGTTCTGTGCTCTTGAGTCGACTCAAAAGTGTTCTGTGCTCTTGAGTCGACTCAAAAGTGTTCTGTGCTCTTGAGTCGACTCAAAAGTGTTCTGTGCTCTTGAGTCGACTCAAAAGTGTTCTGTGCTCTTGAGTCGACTCAAAAGTGTTCTGTGCTCTTGAGTCGACTCAAAAGTGTTCTGTGCTCTTGAGTCGACTCAAAAGTGTTCTGTGCTCTTGAGTCGACTCAAAAGTGTTCTGTGCTCTTGAGTCGACTCAAAAGTGTTCTGTGCTCTTGAGTCGACTCAAAAGTGTTCTGTGCTCTTGAGTCGACTCAAAAGTGTTCTGTGCTCTTGAGTCGACTCAAAAGTGTTCTGTGCTCTTGAGTCGACTCAAAAGTGTTCTGTGCTCTTGAGTCGACTCAAAAGTGTTCTGTGCTCTTGAGTCGACTCAAAAGTGTTCTGTGCTCTTGAGTCGACTCAAAAGTGTTCTGTGCTCTTGAGTCGACTCAAAAGTGTTCTGTGCTCTTGAGTCGACTCAAAAGTGTTCTGTGCTCTTGAGTCGACTCAAAAGTGTTCTGTGCTCTTGAGTCGACTCAAAAGTGTTCTGTGCTCTTGAGTCGACTCAAAAGTGTTCTGTGCTCTTGAGTCGACTCAAAAGTGTTCTGTGCTCTTGAGTCGACTCAAAAGTGTTCTGTGCTCTTGAGTCGACTCAAAAGTGTTCTGTGCTCTTGAGTCGACTCAAAAGTGTTCTGTGCTCTTGAGTCGACTCAAAAGTGTTCTGTGCTCTTGAGTCGACTCTTCTTCTCCCATCTTCCCCCTCCCTCTGGTTGCTCTGCAGACGGCGTGGGAGCAGTGAGCGAGGCAGGCGTGCAGCACTACAGCCGCCTCATAGACGAGCTGCTGGCCAATGGCATCGCGCCAGCTGTCACGCTGTACCACTGGGACCTGCCGTTGCACCTGCACGAGGCACACGGGGGGTGGCTCAACGCGAGCATCGTGTGAGTGCAGGGGGAAGTATGTGAGTGCAGGGGACAGTATGTGAGTGAAGGGGGCAGTATGTGAGTGAAGGGGGCAGTATGTGAGTGAAGGGGGCAGTATGTGAGTGAAGGGGACAGTGTCACTATGTGGGTGCAGGGGACAGTATGTGAGTGAAGGGGACAGTGTCACTTTGTGAGTGTTTCTGTTCCGTGTCTGCATGTCTGCATGTATGTCTGCATGTCTGCACCACTCGGACCTGTGTTTTGAGCAAGCCTAAATCCGTTTCCTTCCTTCTCACATCCCCCTCGCACTCTCCATCACAAACCTCCAAACATCACATCCTCCCCCCACCACCCACAGGCACGCCTTTGTTCGGTACGCGGATGTGTGTTTCTCTCGCTTTGGCGACAGGGTGAAGACGTGGATCACATTCAATGAGCCGCGGCAAACTGCTGTGCAGGTGAGGGGGGGGGGGGGGGGGGGGGGGGGGGGGGGAAGGGGGAAGCACACGGGGAGCCATGATAAAGCAAATCTAGTCATCCTGTCGTTTCGACTACCAGGTGAAGACCTGGATTACTTGCAACGAGCCGCAGCAGACTGCCGTGCAGGTGAGTAGGGGAGTGAGAGGAACAAGTCAGGGAGGAGAGGGAGGGAGAGGCGGAGAAGAGGAATAACAGCTGCCATCGTTTGCTCGCTTCGTCAAACCTGGCTACGGACGAATAGCAGACCTGGATTACATTCAAAGGGCGTCCTTCCCCCTCCTCTCCTCTCGCAGGGCTATGGCTACGGTACAATGGCGCCTGGTAGATGCTCCAACCGTTCTGCATGCGAGCAAGGAGACTCCTCTGTTGAGCCTTACGTCGTCTCTCTCCACATCGTGCTCGCCCATGCATGTCCTCCCCATCCCTCTGCCCTCCCTCCCAGGGCTACGGTTACGGCACCATGGCGCCTGGCCGCTGCTCAAATCGCACTTCATGCGAGCAAGGAGACTCATCCGTTGAGCCTTACGTCGTCTCTCACCACATCCTGCTGGCCCATGCTGCTGCTGTGGCTGTCTATCGGAGGAGATACAGCAGCCAATGGGGAGGAGGGGGGCGCATAGGCATGACGATGGATTGTGTGTTTCTGTACGCGGCTGATGGCACCCGGGGGAGTGCGGACGCGGCGCAACGAGGCATGGAGTTCTCATTCTCCTGGTGAGTGGAGGGGTTGGTGGGTGAGTGGAGGGGTTGGTGGGTGAGTGGGTGGGTGGGTGGGTGGGTGGGTGGGTGGGTGGGTGGGTGAGTGGAGGGGTGGGTGGGTGGGTGAGTGGGTGGGTGGGTGGGTGAAGAGGGGGGGATGGGAGAAGGAGGGCGCATAGGCATGACGATGGGCTGTGTGTTTCTGTACGCGGCTGAACAACATGCTTCCTCCTTTATCCTCCTTCCTCCTCCTCCTCCGCGCGTCTGCCGTCCTTTTCTGCCGCCGAATCCTCACTGCTGATTGGCTCCTCGGATTTCATCGGCCTCAACTTCTACACTGCGCAGTTCGCCGCCCAAAAAACGGGTCGGGATGGTGGGGAGGTAGCTGACGTGGCAGATGGGGTAGCTCCGTGGATGGACTGCCACATGGACATGACAGGTAATTGCCACGCAAGCCCATGATCTCTGCTTTCACCAGTTTGAAAAAAAATATGTTGTTTCCATTCTCCCCTTCTTTCTTGCTTTCCCTCCCCCATCCTCACCCTCACCCTTGGCCCCATTCCCCACCCTCATTCCATCATCCCCATTTCCCCACTTTACCTCCTCAGTTCCTCCAACACTCGCTTACTAAACAACTTTCACCTGGATATTCTATAACAACCCGCTCCCTCCAGCTGTGTCTCCTGTAACGGGGAAGCTTATAGGAGAGCGCACAGCATCATCATGGCTGCACGTGGTGCCAGCAGCAGTCCAGCACATGCTGACGTGGATCAGCCAGAGATATCCGTCCGTCCCCATCATCATCACTGAAAACGGTAATACTCGCTTTTTCTATTTCTAACAGTTACAGCATCATATAGTAAATGAAGGCTGGTGACTTACCCATACATCTGAATTGAATCAGTGCATGCACATGACCCCACCCCCCCCCCCCAGCCCCTTTTTTTTTGGCATGTCCTGCCATGTGTTACCTGGTCCCCTGCATACCAGGAATGAGCGAGCCCAACCTGCCTTCGCGCTCGCTTGCCCGCTCGCTGTGTGACGACCAGCGTGTTTGCTTCTACCGGTCCTACCTCTCAAGTGTGCTCCAAGCCAGGCGGTATGATGACTATTGCTTCCCCTGTCTGCTTTCACTAGCCCTCTCTATTGCTCCTATCGCTCCTAGGTGATTCGTGCCAAGCAGCACAATAGCCATCCTGCTCTCTCCCCTCCCTCCCCCCCTCCTCGTTTTGTTTCCTTTGTAACATCTCTTCTCATGTCTGTTGCTGAAACAACTGTTGCTGAAACAATCTCAGAATCTTGTTACCCAGCACGGAGCCTCTTCTCTCTACATGTCTTGTGCAGGCAAGGCGTGCCGGTGGAGGGATACTACGCCTGGTCGCTTCTGGATAATTGGGAATGGGCCATGGGGTTTTCAGAGCGGTTTGGAGTGGTGTTTGTCAACTTCACAGACCCATTGCTTCCGAGATTCCCCAAGGCGTCTGCTCTCTGGTTCAAGCACCTTCTAAGAGCACATTCGACGCACATTAGAGGGCACGCAGTACAGTAACATATGTGTTACGCAATAGTTGAAAATCTGACGTTTTTTTTCATCCTGGGTTGATTGGTTCTATTTCCATGCACCATACTCCCTGCACTTGTTGTTCGAGCATTGGTTTGCAAGACCGTTTTACGGTAGATAAAAATCGCTATGGGTATACTACTATGTACCCAACAAGAATATGGACCAAAATGTTGATAGGACTGGACTGGAATCAGCAGATTGCGGGACACACTATGCCACAATGAAAACTGTACAGCACATACATTCCAGTACTGCAAACTTTACAAATTGACAAGAAACATATCATAAGTCCGATACCGTAACAAAACCCCTTCAGGACATTACCCCCACATCATGCCTATCCTGCGCTCTTCTGTAGCAGTGGTTACCTAGAAACTGTGTTAATCCCCCTCCACACATTTACACCCTCACAACACGCCCTTGCCGTTGTCCTTGGCCTTGCGTGCTGGTGGTGCCTTGATGCTTGCAATTCCCGTCACCTCCCGCCCCGTCACAAGCGCGTTCACATCGTACGTGCCCTCGTAGGTGTAGATCGGCTCCAGGTCACAAAAGTGCTGCGAGGAGGGATGGGGCACAGTTAGAAAAGAAACCAGTCGCAGTATCAGCCTCTATTCTCTCTACTTCTGGCAGACCATCAGTGTACCCTCCCTAGAGTTTCTTTCACCACAGGTTTCGGTTCCGGGCTACAAGGATAAGGCTCTCACCTTGGCCACCAGGAATTCCGCCAGAATGCCGTTTCCTCCCAGCAGCTCCCTGCCCAAAGCGGCCGTTTCTCGAGCGCGAAGGGTGATCCAGGCCTTGGCCATGCTGGCATGCCCTGCCGTCATCCGCCCCTGGTCGTACAGCAGGGACAGGCGCCACGCGAGCAGCGACATGGCCTGCACGTTGCCCAGGATGCGCACCAGCTTCTCCTGGCACAGCTGGAAGGAGGCGAGCGGGGTGGAGAACTGCGAGCGCTGCTGCAGGTAGCGCAGGCAGATGTCGTATATGCCCATGCTCATGCCAACAGGGAGCCACGCCACCATCACCCGTGACACTGCCAGCACCTGAGAGAAAGGGAGGGGGCGGTACAGGAGAGGTGGTACAAGACAGTTGAGTGGGAGTCAGTGGTGCAGGTAGCGCAGGCAGACATCGTATATGCCCATGCGCATGCCGACTGGTAACCAGGATACCATCACCCGTGACACTGCCAGCACATGAGGAGCAGAGGACACACTGTAAAGATGGCACATGCACACTGGCAACCGCATTGTACTGCACTGGAACTGTTGCCTTGCTCTCCCCATATGTGTTGTGGAAAGAATATACTCCTGGTAGATGGTCACAACCAGGCACAAACATTTCCGTAAGGGTGATATCCTACACTTCCCACACTGTACCACACTCCACCGCTTTGAAACTGCTCTCACCTTGTGCTGAAGGAAGTTCACTCCTGGCAGCCGGTCACAGTCCGGCACAAACACGCATGATGTCCCCGTGCGGCACTTTCATTTACAACACTGTACCGCTCTGTAACCTGTAATACAGCACTGTGCCGGCGAAACTGCTCTCACCTTGTTGGTGTCCTGGAAGGAGTTCACCCCTGGCAGGCAGTCACAGTCTGGCACAAACACGTCCTTGAGGGTGACGTCCCCGTTCTGCACTGAGCACAACCTTCACTCCCCGCACTGTACTACACTCAACCGCACTGCAAGTACTCTCACCTTGTTGGTGTCCTGGAAGGAATTCACTCCCGGCAGGCGGTCACAGTCCGGCACAAACACATCCTTGAGGGTGATGTCTCCATTCTGCACTGAGCACAACCTACACTTCCCGCACTGTACTACACTCCACCGCACTGTACTACACTCCACCGCACTGCAAGTACTCTCACCTTGTTAGTGTCCTGGAAGGAATTCACTCCCGGCAGGCGGTCACAGTCCGGCACAAACACATCCTTGAGGGTGATGTCTCCATTCTGCACTATCCGCAGCCCGATCTTGTTCTCCATCTTCACCGCACTGTACCCCTTTGCACCCTTGCGCACGATGAAACTGGAAAAAAGCGAGAGAGGAGAAGAACGGGCATGGAGAAGGAACGGAAAATGGTAAGGATTGTTATAGTGGAAGAGATGAAGAGGGAAAAAGGTTACTAGGAGGAGCAAAGGCGGCAGAGTCATAGATAGAGCAGACAGATGAGACAATGCATAGCCGTATAGACAAATGGAGGAGTCACAACACTGGCCACAACACGGGAACACCTTCAGCCCCACACACGGTTGGTATAGTTGAAGGAACAATGGAGTATCTACCAATTGGACAAGAGAAGGGAGAGTTGAATGGAAGCTCACCCGTTGACCTGATTGGTCGATGTGTTGCGGGCAAAGATGATGATGACGTCAGCGAAGGTGCTGTTGCCGATCCACCGCTTGAAACCGTTGAGCACCCATCCGCCCTGCACCTTGCGTGCCGTGGTGGTGAGTGCGCTGGCGTCACTGCCATAGTCTGGCTCTGTCAAGCCCTGAGGCAAACGGCAGGAGGGAAGGGATGGGATATCAGTGGGTCGGAAAGAGGGGCCAGGGGGAGCAGGATATGGCAAGAGCACATCACCATCCCCTGCACCCCCCCTTCTCCCCCCCCCTCCCCTCCCCTCCCCTTCCGCCCCCTTCCCCCCCTTCCCCACTCCCAACTCCCTCTTTCCCCCACCCTCTGGCACACGCCACTACCCTAGCACAAGCCACCCTCACCCAGCAGGCGATCTTCTTGAGCTCTGCCAGCTGCGGCAGATCCCTCTGCTTCTGCTCCTCACTGCCGCACAGCGCTGCTCCCAGAGAGAGAGAGAGAGAGAGAGAGAGCGAACCAAAAGCAACACAGGGGCAAGCGAAGAAGAAGTGAGAAGGTTCAGAACGCACAGCAGTCAGTGGAAGCACGCAAAAGCACGTGCATCGAATGTACCAAGGCGGTTAGCAGACGCATGTCCACGACACTCACCAATGGTGAGCATGTCAAGGCACAGCTCACTGCAGCCTCGCGTTTCTCAACCTCAAGGCATTTGAGGGCATAGCATGGCACTTGCAAGTATTGATGATGCAGAACTTTGAACGTAAGTATTGATGATGCAGAACTTTGAACGTACCAATGGTGAGCATGCCGAGGCAGCTGTGCACGAGAATGAAGGTGGCGCAGCTCGCATCCACCCGAGCCAGCTCCGCGGCAGCTACCCCTGCTGCTGTCATTGACAACCCCGGACACCCGTAGCCCTGATGACGCACGAAAGGGTGGGGACGCAAAGAAGAAGTGAGAGGGAAAGAAGGTCGAACATATGTGCAAACACACGCTGCAGCCACCCCTGCAGCTGTCATTGACAAACACGGACACACTTAGCCCTGATGGCGTCAATGCACGTAGGGGCGATAATGCAAGGGAGAGAGTGAGAGTGGAATGGAGCACTGCAAAACAGTGGACAGCTCGTTTCAAACTCCAAATGCCCATTCAGGCTTAATTCTCATTTTTCAATCTGTTGCTGTACCAGTTAATTGCCTGCAGCTGTCCATCTGAGACAGCTGCATGGGACGGACAACATTGATGATTCCCACCACACAATTTTGGCGTGAAAAAACTGAGCTCCGCACGAACTCCGTTTTAATATTGCCACCCGCGCATGTGGTCTGTCGTCTGTCCCTCTTTACCCGATACGCACTGACCTTGATGGTGGTTCCAGCAAGCTTGAGCGTGGCCAACTGCGGCACCAGCTCGTGCGGAAACTCCGCTTTCTCCCAGTACTGCACACACGCAGACCGGCGGACATTGACAGATCAGCGCACAATACTGGAAGCAGCTACCAAGCGACCTTGACTCGCATTGAGTCAACAGGAAACGTGCCATTGAAATTTGAAAAATGAAATCTTACAGCTGGTGCGATGGGAGCGACGACTCTCTCCATAAATTCTCGGACACGCAGCCGGAGAGCCTGCTGCTCGGGTGTCAGCAGATCGTTCAGGCCAAAGTAGTCGGACTTTGATGGCGGGAAGACGGTGGCCGGCTGGGCCTGAGTGAAAGTTGACGGCGGATCGGCTGTGTTGATCAGCGACAACGTTGGTGACGGCGCGACCGTCCGAGCATCTGTAAGGAGAATGCATAAGATAAGAGATAAGTGCCACGTGACATTGAATCTCCGTGGAGACGTCTGTGAACAAGTTAGGGACGAGAATGCATTCGTCAACATGCACGGGATGGTCGCAACGCGACGGAACCGCAGTGATGATAATCACTAGACGCAGTGTGAGACAGGAGAGCTGAAGGGTTCAATGGGGTTGAGAAACTCCGCCGTTTAGCTATGGGCCATAGGCTGGACCACGTTCGGCAATTTGAGCGGTAGTGCGTATCAGGAACTCGGTGGACACATAAGGACACGCGAAAACGACACATGAGGAAGCACGTGTCAGGATGGATGGCGACCTTGCTGTTCTTCTTCGTCGCGCCTTGGGGGACACAGATGCCCGGAAATTACGGCTAGACGGTCCATGATTGCGGTCGATCAAGCGCGAGGGCAACGACAGCACGAGCCACGGAAAAAGCGCAGAGCAGCAGCAAGAGACTGTACAGACAGACCAACAGACTTGTCTGCGTTGATGTGAAACTGATAAGGCGTGAGGGAGACTTGAAGGGTTGGTGCTTGCTGCTATCTCTGCTATTCCGGAAAGACAATCACTAACTAGTTTCGGGTTTCCTTGATTCAGATCCTAGTACAATCTCCACTCCCATCAGCTTCAATGAGGATTGAGGTGAGGTGAGGTCATGAAGGGCACCTGCTTCGGCCAAGCTCTGGGTGGTCCCAGCCGCGACGTGGGGCTCCGCGTGATTGGATGTTTGTCGAAGATTGGGCAACGTAACCTCTTGGATTTGCCAGCACATTTGAAGTGGGGTTTGATCGACTCAAAGACGGGTCAAACACTGTCAGCAACACGTGGATATTGTGTGTGAACCAGCTGTACTGTTTTGTACCAG